GATTAATCCTGATTTAATGATAAGGAGTGGGTGTGTGTGTTATGTTTTTTTATATTTCCTAGTGTTCCTCTTTAAATTAAATGTTTATAAAATTAGTTTTAATGCTTTACTTTATTATTTTCAGATGAATATTAGTGCAGTGTATTAAGCAATCCAACTAAATAATATGACAAAAGTATGGCGTTACTGACGGAATGAATAAATGATAAACAGAAAAATACATAAGAAATGATATGATATAATGATTATCAGTATATTTATTAAAAATATATATTATTTTAATGATGGATTCTATTTTACATTTTACCACTTCCAAACAATAATTGTCCAATGGGGTGACATATGTGCAAAATGTTTATCTCAAAACACCTCACCCCCTTCCACCACCACACCCCACCCCTCATGCACTGTTATCTGATTAATCTAATAATTTAACCCGATTTGAATATGCAATGTGTTAATAACAGGCGGCACCAGCGTATGAAATCTGGGGGTGGGGAAGGGGAAGTGAGTGGAACGGTACAACGGTACACGGAGGGGGAGGTCCCCGATGAGAACTAAGTGGGCGTGGTCAGGCGTCCGTTAAAACTTTTCGAAAGTGTTTCAAGGAAAAAAAATATAACGATTTATGGGTTTTATTCTTTCATTTAATGTACAATTATTTTTCGTCAAAACCACTTCTAAACATTTTGGAAAATGAAGAAGATACAAGATAATACGCATTCAAAATAATAAATCACTATTCTTTATTGATGGTATAATTCTCTGAATTGGAATTTGTGTCATAATTCTTGTAGTATCGTATACAGTTCTACTTCTTTCTGGTGTTCATCGTGCCACAACGAGTATCGAAAAGTTCTTGTAAGACGAGTACAGTAATGACAAACAAACTAACAGTATACATGCGACCCGACGGCAGCATAACTGAAAGGCAGCCATTTCTCGTTAAGAAGTTTATGAATTTGTAGAATAGGACTAGTCAACTCTTTAAAGTTAAAAAATACAGATTTCAGAATGGGTAAAACATGACAGCTCCCTGGTAAGGTAAGAGAGATGACAAGACTGCTTGCTTAAGAGTGCTTCTTTGAAATTGTGAACACTTGCAATGTCGCCAAACGTTTGGCTGCATCTCGTCTCCATAATATTTTAGGACTAGCCTAGGCTTAGGTCAATATTCCTAGATAACTACTTTACATCGACACTTAAAAAAAAACACACTAATGTTAGCATTATTTCCGTTAACTTTTAATAGAAAAATGAGCTTCTTTGCTTCATTCCTTTGCTGTAAACTCTAAGCAAACTCGGATGACCTTCAATGAGTGGTCTACTGTGTGACGATCTATGGCAGGATTGCGTCATTTTATTGGTAGCGGTACAACTTGAAGTACAGTAGAACCTCGTTTTTATGTACCCCAGTTATACGAACCCTCTGTTTTACGTACGCCTCGTATGGACGATGACGTCATCAAAAACCCCGAAAATATTCAAAACAAACGACCCTTTTGAGAGCAACCATAAGTAAAAAGAATATAACAATAAACTATAACAATAAACAAACTTAAATAGCAACGTTGATTGAGTCTAATACCGGGTTGTTATAATCTAAAACCACGTGAACTGAGTGAGATGAACAACTACCGATGGTGCTCAAAATTGTTGCTTTCCTCCTTAGCTTCGTGTGACAAACCATGGGAAAACTCGTCTGGTCGAATTTTCTACACGAAGCTGAGTAGACATAGTTTCGTACACGAACGCTAATTGGTTGGCTCGCCCAGTGCATAGCACATAGTTGCTGTTTCACGTACACGAACGCTAATTGGTTGGCTGGCCCAGTGCAGCGCACATGGGTTTAGTTTGTCTGAACAGGCCCAGACAACACCACATCTCTGTTGTTTAGAATAGGCATGAAGGGGAATTTTCAAGTTATACCTTTGTCGTATCGGTAATCTTACAATATTTTCATGTTCTTTATTTTAGTTAAATAAAAGGTATAAAGTGATGAATTAATACACTAGACACATGGTTTTATTTGAACACTTTATTATGACATCGTAAAGTGATGAATAAAAACACTAAACACATGGTTTTATTCGTAGGCCTAGGCCTAGAGGCTAGGTCTAGTCTAGGTATCATCGTTCGTTCGTACATACGTTTATTGTGCGTTACGTACGTATTAGGTCAAAGGTTACCACAAATTTAACCCAACCTCTATTTTACGAATCCCCGATTTACGTACGCCCTCTGGTCCCGTACCGTACGTAAAAATCGAGGTTCTACTGTAATTATGTTAACGAGAATTTAATGTGTGAATCAATTAGCTTAACGATCGCCCTAGGGGCCGGTCTGTAACATGGTACAAAGGAGCCTGACTTTGTTGGATCTCCAGTCACTATAACAACTCCCTGTTAAGATCAACAATGAGAAACATGCATACTACACATTGGCTGTGTCATGTGTACAGACACCATGTTGAAGCCATCTCTGCCTTGAGGGCGGAGTACCAATTCATGAGGGCAGCAAACACCTAAACTGACTCATATAACATCCCTCTTTTTTAGTATCTTTCTAACAAGTATTAACATTTATAACTTATCGCATTACAGTGTCTATATTATGATAGAACATTTAAATTACACCTTCAACCTCTCATTTTGCATTACATCTTTAACCAACATCATTAATAATCCCATCCATATTATTATATCATTTATAATAATCATTTTAGCTATGGATCACTATCCATATGTATCAACATATCTCATACTGAATATTTTAACAAAATCACATAATACAAAAAAGCAAACATCTTTTTAAAACTACATCCCAGGCATTGACATTTACATATCCAACTTTGTTGGTTGTTTAATTACTCTGCCTGTTCTACTATATCGGTGTGTAGTGTTTGTCCGAGTTGTATCGTAATGACTCATTGTAGGTGATTTGTTTTCAATGTGTGTGAATTGTTCTGCCATCTGACGAATGTGTCGTCTATTCCTTCTTAATCTTTCCCCTCCTTTTGTTATAATCATGTACGAACGAGGCTCTTTTCTTTTATAGAGTACCCTTGCTGGGATCCAATGGGGGTCTCGGTCAGATCTTCTTACGCATACATTTTGATCTCGTTTAAGAGGTCTTAGCTGTATGGTTTTCTTATCATAATTTTATTTTTGTTTGTTCTGTTTGATTTTCATTTTTTCGCTGACTTTGCTCTTGGGTGGAAGTTTTTCATTGTTTGTAGGTAACTCTGTTCTCATATTTCTTTTAAAAAGTATTTTACCAGGCAAGGGCAATGATGAGTCTATTGGGGTAGCACGTAGGTATAGTAGTGCTTTGAATACATCAGTGTTGTGTATCTTACAAGCCTTTCTTATTGTGTGTTTTACCGTTTGAACTTGTCTTTCAATAAAGCTATTGCTTTGGTGGTTGTGAGGACTTATTGTAGTGTGTTTAAATTTCCATTCTTTGCTGAACTCTTTAAATTTTGCACTAGAATAGTGTGGGCCATTATCACTTATTATTTCATCTACTAGACCGAACTCGGCAAGAATTTTTTTCATCATATTTATCACAGTCTCCCTGTTCGATTTGCCGGATGGAATTAGTTTTACAATTTGATACTTGGTATAATAATCAGCAACGAGTAGATACTCTTCATCATTGATGTGGAAGATATCGGTGGCGATTATTTGCCACTCTCGTTTTGGTAGTGGTCTTTGTATCATACATTCTCTAGTTGGGTCATTTTTTAACTCTTGGCATGCTGCGCATCTTCTTACCATGATTTCTATATCATTGTTTATGTTAGGCCAGTACACTGCTGTTTTTGCTAGTAGTTGACATTTGGTTGTGCTGAGTGAATTTTAAGCAATATGTCTTGCCTCATGGATTCAGGCACTATTATTCTACTCCCTTTCCAGATAATTCCATTTTCGACAGTTAGCTCATCCCTACATGAATAGTATGGTCTAAGATTTGTGGGGAGCTTTTTCACTTTTTCAGGCCAGCCCTTGTTTATTATTTCCATTAATTTGTTTATGAGTGGGATCATCTTGTGTGTTTTGTTGCTGCGAAGCAGCCAATTCATATTCTTGACAGCAATTTGACCTCTGAAAGGTCATTGTTTGTCAAAAAACGACTGCCTAAGATGACTGAAAAGCGGAGTTTCCTTCTTCCGTTCTGCCCGGTAAAATCAATTACTTTAGGCGACGTTTGTAGACTAACCTACTCGTACCAACGTCCGCATGTCGCGCTAGCCTTATCCTACTCTAGGCCTAGACTAGCTAGGATGTTATAGGCCAAGCCTTGAAGGGACGAAGGCCCCAATGAAAAACAACGTCGCTCTTTGATAGCTAACATTGTCTATTTAACATCACAATAATTCATTATTAGATCTATAGTTGTTTTTTGAATTGTAGGCTACTCCACAAATCTCAGCCGATACCTCGCACAACTGCACTGGCTAACGTCTCTATCTATTGTCGTGACGTCACGGCTCGCTGGCTCACAATTGTGATATGTCTCGCACTTGTGATCAGATAACACGCTGGCTCACACTTTGGCAACACTCTTTGGCAGTCGACTCGCCCCTAGAAAACCCGCCCTTGGAAACTTGCCCCATAAAAAAAATGTACACTTCCTAGACCATGCAGTCTTCAAATAAAAATTGTAACCTTTAGTAATCAACTACATTTTCCACATACATAGAAATTTTTGAAACTTTATTTAAAAAAACCTAAACCATAATTCACCAAACTAGACACTTTTTGACAAAAATGAAAAATTACGACTTTGTTACCCAATGAGAAGTGTTCTAATATAGACAATGGGTCGTGTCTCATATTATTTGTTATAGTTTTATTATTCATTATTTTCACTTGACTCGCATAAATAATTTTGTTCGAAGAACATTTATATGCAGTTTGCAATTTCTAGTTTTAGCTGTTCTGTTTTGTCTTTTGTGAAATGAACTGGGCTTATTTTAATTTCTTTTTATATTTCAGTATTTTCAGACATCAGTCTTGAGAGCCCATCGGCCAGTAACATTTCTCGACCGGGTTTGTACTTTATTTTCATATACCCTTGTAATCTCAATAGAAGCCGTTGCAGCCTACTGTAGGTGGTGCACTCATTAGGTTTTTTTGGTGGATCATTTCTAATGGTTTGTGATCGCTTTCTACAGTGAAGCTTCTACCATACACATACAGTAAGTGTGAAACTTTTCTACACCGTTAACTACTGCCAGTAATTCCCTTTCTATATTGGCGTATCTCTGCTCTGTTTCTGTGAGAGCTTTATTTTTAAATGCGACTACCTTTCCTTCTTGGAGTAAGGCAGCACCTAATGCTTTTAACGACGCATCCACCTGTAGTGTTACTTCTTTTGTTGGGTCAAAATAAGTAAGTGTTACTTGTTTACAAATGTCATCTTTTATGCTCTCATAAGTTTTGTTATGAGAGTCCGTCCATTCAAATAGTTTATCTTTTTTTAAAAGATCTCGTAGGGGTGCTGTCTTTTCGGACAAGTTAGGACAAAATCTGCTATGAAAAACTTTGCATTGCATGTTAAGTTATTTGTGGTACAAGGTATATATGTATAGCCATAATGTTCTATTGGAGTTGCATTATATGCAGTTATCCTAGTACTAGACATCTTAACATATCGTTTGTCAGGGAGATCATTCTTAATTAATTTCGGGAACATTTCTTTAAATAGCCTAAGTGGCAAAATATTTCCCTCTGTACCAGTATCACACTTAACATTTAAGAAACACATCCTGTTATTTCTTAAGTCTACTCTTACTTTGGTATATATAGTTCAGTGTCCTAATTATTCTTACTGTGTTCATTACATTCATTCCCATTGTTTACACTGTCTATTTTTATGGTAGAGAAAATAAGTTCATCATCACTGTCATCTTGTTGTTCACTCATCACCATTGTGTGCATTTTCCTTGCTGGTTTTTTTTTATATCTTGATTGTTTGTCCAGTCTAGGCTTGCTTGTAATTTGAGTTTTGCTCCTGCATGCTGTGCTGAAGTGATTCCTTCCTCCACATGAATTACAATTCTGTCCATATACTGGACATTTTCCATAGTCATGAACTCGTGCACATCTGTAGCAGGGATTTTTCTTTTTCTTGACTCCATCACTGCTACCAGTACCAGTCATTGGCATGCCTACTCTGTCTACCTGTACTGCACCTGCTTTTTCAAATTCCTTACTTATGCTTTTTGCGATCTCATTCGCTTTGCATATTTTTATCGTTTTATCCAAGTCTAAGTTGTCTTCTCGTAACAGCTTTTCTCGTAGACTTGTGTTACAAATACCGTATATAATCACATCTTTTATGAGCGACTGCGCTAGGTTACCAAATTCACACATTGGGCCTAAGTTTTTCAATTCTGTGACATACTGGTCAATATTTTTACCTGCATTTATGTCTCTCAAAGGTAATGTTACGTTTAGGGTTGCAATACTGCTCAAATTTCTCTGAGACTTTCTGTAGGTTTAGCTTCCAACATTCAATAGTACTTGCTATGTTGATACTGTTCTCATGCGATACACTGATCTTCGAGGCTTACGCACCGAGAGCTATGACGATATGACCCGTCTGGATTCAACCACGCCGTGCACATCAATCACTGGATCAGCTCACAACAAAATCAACAAAAATCACAGTTTCCGTCGTCGATCTTTATCCCAAGCTGCCACCATGTTATACTCTTTGGTTGTAATAATACGATGTAGACAACCGTTTGGGTTCATAAAATTTATTAAGATCAACAATGAGAAACATGCATACTACACATTGGCTGTGTCATGTCATGTGTTGAAGCCATCTCTGCCTTGAGGGCGGAGTACCAATTCATGAGGGCAGCAAACACATAAACTGACTCATATAACACTAACTCCCTTGTTCCAGATTTGCGGTCGCATCATTGGTGCGCCATACACCGCGATCGAAATGCATAACGAAAATAGTGCGACCGTATTGAAGGCACGACCGAAATGATCGGATACCGTAAATATCCTACAGTTAATGTGGACCCGGGTATAAAAGAAGGTAGATTACCTATACAGTAGGCCAAGACCTTTCTTTATTAACATTTTGTGGAACTGGTCAGTCGTAGCCTACTACAGTAGCTATAGACTTGGTGTATGTAACAGTGTCGATGCCTAATTTAGGGAACCAGACAACTCGCCCCCTAGCAAACTCACTTCTTGCAATCTTGTCTCCCCTCCACTTACAAACTCTCCCCTTTACAAACTCGCCCCTTACAAATTCGCCCCCAACAAACTCTGCCTACTGACTGTACACAGTCGCCCCATAACAAACTCACCCCTAACAGAGTCGCACCCTAAGAAACTCGTCCCTCTGACTATACACAGTTGCCCCCTAACAAACTCATCCCCTTAACAAACTCGCTCCCTAACAAACTCGCCTATAACCCTTTCTGTAGATCGTCAGATCAAAAATTTAAAAAGATAATAATTTGCCTATTCATATACCCTAATGTTATTTTGACTGCCAATCTTGTTGAGTCTAAAAGCACATTTGGACCTCATTAAGCAATAGAAACTCTCCCTGTGAACCTACAAGATGTAGTTTTTATCGTTTGTTGTATATATTTTGATTGATGTTCATTAATGCATAAATTAAATGTAGATGCAGTTTCTTAACGACATTAATTTTCTTTTGCTGCAAGGGTAGGCCTACCAACTCTCAGGCATGAGCAGGACACTTTTAAAGACTCGCGCTTACATTGCATCATAAAAATTTTATAAAGAATAAAATGTATAGGCTGATTATACCCTAAAATTCATACTACTGTACTGTACACACTATTTTCAAGAATTTTATGTTATACTGCTATTAAACCAGATTTCTGTTTCCTATACTTTTACACTGATCACGCTTTATTGTCCCAGAGATATGTCACTACTAGATCCCTGTCGCTAAATCCGTCTATTGTAGAACATTTTTGGCCTCTTTACAACAACAGTCTTTGAAATGCTATTTTAAATGTTCCTACCTACATACCTACCAGACAGCATCATACATCATCTGCACTTGCTTCCTGATGTAGAAAGGTTGTCCAGTTTCTGCAATCCTTTGCTGGAACTTCTGCCTCTTCAGCAGTCTATCCAGGGAGTATGGTGTTTATGTTTGTCTTCCATGTTGTACAAGGTGTATGAGGTCTTCCAGGTTACATGTTCACTCCACACAAAGTGATCAGTTTTTCAAATGTCACTCTATCTACAAGATTATTCAATTGTTTACTGTATAGTAAAATTGCATTTTGAATTTGTTTACTCCTCCTATAGGTTGATAATTTATTTATTACTGAGTCATTATGGAAGGGGACACACCAGAAGGTGAGTTATTCTCAGTTATGATTTACTTCAGAAAAAAATAAAAATATGAAAATGCTTCAAATATATTTTAAATAATCATGAAACTTTCATCACTGTCCCACATAAACTACTGTATGGTTTAAATAAGTGCCCTGAATTGTTCAGAAACAAGCTTATAAAATTTTAATGAAGTTGAAAACGTGTGTAAACATTTTGACACTCATAATTTCTTTATACCCTATACTCATATTTGGGAAAACAATTTTACAGAAATACTTAACAGTAGTTTGAAAATAAAATAAAAATCGAATAATAATAATAATAATAATGATAATAATAAATAATAATAATGACATTGCAGCATTCTTAAAATGTTTGTGCTGGAACACAAAAAGTGGGGAGGCCTGGCATCCCCCCTCCCCCGTTTCTGCCGCCATTGTCCCCCTCCCCCCTTCCGTTAGGTTGGTACTGTATGCAAGTCAGCTTCCTGGGATCTGACACCTGCATGATTAAAAAAAAATGCTCTTTTTTATATTTTAAACACTTTTAGTCTTATTTCACCTATTATAAACATTGTAAAATAATGAATATCTAATTAGATATTTTTTCATTCAACCCACTTATAACAAGAACAATGTAAAGTTTGATGGTAGCACTAAAATAATTTTAATTTTATTTATATAATACTATTATTAGTACTAAGCCACTAGGGGCTTAAAGGCTGGAGCCTGTTCCCAGATTCTGTAGTGTTAAATGAACAAGAGCATGATGCTTTCTGTCGTGGGACACTAGTCCATCGGAGGTTACTCCCAGGAAGTCTCTGCCCGCTGGTACAGCCTGGTAGACTGAAGTAATATAGATAAATTGGCTTGCTCAAAGATTAAAGAGAAATTTCAAGGTTGGGAAACCAAACCAATCCCATGTGGCAAACCGCTCCTGTTATTTGCAGTTTTATAATTAATGATGCACTCCTCCATAGTCTTATTAAGAGCAACATTGAGAAACGAAAGTTTCTCTCCGTCGAATCGTACATGATTAGAAAATGTACTGAATATTCATTGTAATACAACAACTTTTTATCAGAAAGAGATGGTCAACAAGAAATGAACCCCAAAAAGAGAAAAATCGAACAGAAAAGACCAACCAAAAAACTTAAGAAAACAGATTCAATCAAGCAACCAAACCAGGCCCGTATTTAGGGGGGTTCGGGGGGTTCGTCCGAACCCCCCCGCGTGAGATTTTCATTTTTATTTCTTTTTTTCAATTTTTCATGGCGGCTATTACGCTAACACACTTATAATAAAATGTTATTTTGAAATCCACAATTTCGGAATCGGAGGGTTCGCTGAACAAGGTATAAAAAAGTCTCGCCTTATTTAAAGCACTAAAAATGTATATTTATTTATACTGTAAAAGGGCCTGAGGCCTATCACACTGAATAAAGTCCCCATTTAGGGGAGAGAAGAAGAAGTATGTGGGTTTTGATAAGGAGTTCCGCATAGTCCCAAGCCAAACCCCCCCATTGAAATTCCTAAATACGGGCCTGCCAACGAAGGTATACATTTTATATTTTGTTGTGAAAATCATACTGAAAAATCCATCCTTGTGTGTTTGTGGGTTAATAAATTTACTATTACAATATATTGAGGCTGTCATCATTAAAACAATAATATAAAGCTATACATTACTGTACCTCATCTGCAGAAGTTTGAATAAATTGTTTATTGATGATCTTATTTCTACAGGTAATGATGATAGTTTACCATCAAGCCCACATCACCAGCAGCCAAGTCAAGGTACATTTAATGTTCAAACTATTACGAATATGTGTTTGCCCAACTGTACAGTAGTGTATATCTAAAATGTAGCTGACTTAAGGCCAACTCAGACAGTGTCGTACAACGCAGCCCGATGCGATTTGTTTTCTGTGTGAGTTAAACACAGACATGATGGCTTGCGTCGGGTGCAGGCGCGTCATAGAATATTAAACATGTTTAATATTTTTCACGATGGCTTAAGACTGTCCCTGACGATCAATCGCCTTGGCTTTAATACACCACAAGGATAGGAAACATGCGAGAGAGATCATTTACACTTTAGTTTAATTTATTTTAGGGGCCATCCATAATTATCAACATTTTCAAAAGAGTACTAAACATACACTTTGGGGGGGTGGGGTGGTTTGAAAGTGTAGGCATAAGTACTCTTTTATGAAAAGATAAATTTTTGATCTCAAAATGACACAAATCAACATTTTTTTGCATACTCTTTCTTTCAGAGGGAAGGGGGTGGGGGGTGTTCACAGAACAGAGTATGATCTGTACTCTTTTGAAAATGTTGAAAATTATGGATTACCCCTACACATTTTTGTTCTCTTTGAATTATACTATTAAAAAAAAAAAAAATTCCTATTATATTATTCTAGAGTGTGTTTATTGTAGGCTGTATGCCCCGTTATGAGATTTTGTGAACTATAGCCAAAAATGATTTCACTCATATCACCAAGATTTCATCCCAGGTTAAAGCTAGTCTTTAATAATTGTCAGTTTACCCTAACAAGTGGTGCATCTAAGGAGGTATTGGTGTGCACTACCTCTTTAATACTTAAAGCCCCATTCCTGGCAAAATTTTTACTAAAAAAGGATTTTTTAGAACAAATGCATATGCATTACTCTAATTATTATAAAATGGAAAAACAGTGGCATAAAGTTTAGTTTTACCCAAAAGTATAAATATAATGAGAAATAGAGACTATTTCTCATAGGAGATTACCGTTTTCTTGAAGACAATTTCGTTATTAGGCAAATTCAGAGGTTGTAGATCGCATCCGCTGGAATGCTCTCACTTTTGTGTGTACTTTATACAGTCAATGAGGTGCCAAATTTATTGTACTTTGTGTACCGAAGAACATTGCGGTATACACGGCACTACGTAAGCCCTTTTATTAATTAGATAGGAGTGGTCATGTTCAAATGTTAATGAAATCGAGTGAGCATTCTGTTTGACTAATTACAATGTCATCTACCGTGTCTTCTGTTCTACACGTGGTGGTACACGAATCTACCAATTTTGATATGGAGTTTTGTCATTAATTTATCGTCTGCCGTTGGTTTTTTTTTTTTATATTTGACTGTTATACATCAAAGGGAAAAAATATTATTCTCCAAGTCATGAGAATCAATCGTACATTCCACATAAACTCATAGCGTCGTGGTATTAAAATACAACTCATTTTCGTTTTGACTTGAAAACTTGGACAAAACAGGCTGCTAGCCAAAAAAGGTCAATCTCAATGTCTTTTTACGCCGCCATTACGAATGTACCACGGAGCAAGGACAGAAGTAGGTCGTAAGGTGGCAAGTGCATGCAAGGGATGGTTAGCCTATGTTCATAAAAAATAATAAAAATACAGTTTCATCTGCTACCTTTGTATTTTATTCATGTTCATCCTTTTAATTTAGACAGGAATGTTCATCATGTCCTTTTGTTAGTATGACGATCAATGATATGCTGTTTATTGATTCAGTTATGAGCTATAGTAACCAGTTTGAGTTTCGCAGCTAGCTAGTTGCAAATTGAAGATATTTTTAGCTACTTCCATAAACTACTATCATGCAGGTCGATGCCTCTACAAGCCTTGTGCACAGGGTGGATCTAGAGAATATTCTGGAAGAATGTGATGTGCGAAGCGCTGAACTGGGTTGGGGTGGTATTTGCATAGATACGGGGAAAAGTGCTACTTGGAATTTAAATAGAAAATTACCCTGGTACTGAGCTCTCCATTTTTAATATTTATTTTTTTTTGTATGTACTCATCTACCCCTCTTTTTTATGGGATCTGTGGACCACCTCTGGTGCATATAAACTGAAAAGTGCGCATACAAATATAATTATTTCTCTATAGTATTAGGGTAGTTATAAAGACATTTTTCCTCCATGGAACCAGCATGCAGTGTATCCCATCATCTGCTGAATCGAACAAGACGTTCCCTGTCTGCTTTAAAATAGGCAGTTTTATAGCAACAATAATCAACTACAGTAGAAAGTTTGACATGCAATTTTTAAAAATATAATGGAAATTTAGCCACATAGCCCTATAAGTGTCTTTGAAGTATTTTTAATTGATTTAGTTTGATAAATACATTAGAAAGCTTTGTTTTTGAAAATAATTATATTATTTTACCCTACATTTTAAATGGTAGAACATGTGCTTCTCTCCTGAGCGTGGAAGGCTGGGGTAGGGGGGTGGGGTGGAGTGTAAGCAATACAATCAACAGCTAATTAATTTTGGAAACAATGTTTTAGCCCAGTTCGGGTTCACTGAACGAGGCGAGACTTTTTAAAATAAAATTGACAAGTGCAATTAAAATCATTGTGGTTATACAGTAGGCCTAAGAAAACAAAATTTTAGTTTTAATGTCCCACTTTCGTCAATTTTTTATAAAATAAATAAGCTAAAAACAAGGTATAAAATGTCTCACCGTCCCGCGCCTTAGAATCTTATAAAAAGATCTCCCTCAAAATAGTTTTCATCCCTTTCCAATAGACGTAAAAAAGAATTAAAATGGATAGTTAGAACCAATATCACAAATAGGGGTTTAAATAAGACTTGATCAGACTAAATTATTTATTCATAATTAATTTCGTTCTTTTTTCCCAGGCCTTTATCTATGGCCAGTATCATCATTGTTTATTCTGAATTATTATTTTATCGCCTTTAATCAGTATCCCTTGTTATTTAAATTTTTAAATACAATCGTTGCTCTATTTCTTGTCAGTTGTCCTCACACGGAAGAAGGCCATCATGTTTGAAATATTTATCCACAGGAAAAAATTACACTATAGTTAACAATCACCTCACTTTTGTTTGCCATTTAGGCATACTTCATTTTCCATCCCGCACTCAAAATTTGTCCCCAATCAGTTCCCCCGTGCTAAATGTTTTAGATACGCAAGGGTATATATATAAACACGTTATCGTAGTCTGGAGTTTCTCAATATAATTATACAGTAATTCCTTGTGAAAGTCAGCCATGCAACAGAAACATATGCTTCAACAGTCGGATGGGTGTGAGCAATAGATTCAATAGCTAATACAGCTTTCCCTGTTGATCGCTTGGCCTGGACTTTGGAATGCACCTGAAAGAAAGAACTGTAGGTAAAAATAAATAGCTATGGGAAAAGTTCTCGGGGCTTCCTGACTGGGAATTTTTCGTGTGAACATTAATGTTTCTATGATGAAATACAACAATCCTGCACTGTACACACTCTGTCTGTAGCGTGTTTACACAGGAGAAGAATTGTACTTTATTATACAGTAGTAGTGCATTATTTACTATTACTATATTTCTGTTTGCCGACAATGGTGTAAATACTATAGGAAAAACCAAGCTTAAATATTTAAAAGTTAAAACTGTGGACGGTGTTTTTTTTTTTTTTTACAACCCATAGCATATTTCATAGTATTGGTATTGGTCCGTGGCATTAAGTTCTAATCATTCGCTGTGTAATTATTGTCATGCTTAGCTGCTCAGTCAACAGTCATTGGTCAATTTGTGAACGGGATTACCATGTGGTTGCATAAACAAAATTGCAGTAACATCGTTACCGCGAGTAATGATCAGGAAACCGCGATACACGAAGTACAATAAAATTGGCAACATCCCTAATGAGATTAGTTTTTGTACTTCGCATCTCGTACACTGTTGATCGAGTAGGCCCGAGTTATGTTTTTTCAAATTGTCTAATTCTCGGTCAAAAATTTTTTTTAACAAATTTCAAATAATTCCAATATAATATTATATTTCACAAGGGTCAATACTAGAAACAAAAAATATGATGTTGGCCATTTTTGTGTCTGATAACATACTGTAACCTAAAACGAGGTAAGTTTGGCCTGGCCATGCAGTGTTGGATAGGCTAATTTTCCAGCACCTACTATATTTCTTCGCAGAACTATTGTAAAATCAGACAGTAAAATATTCATTCATCTTTTTCATAATATGATTATTATTATTATAATTGTAATTATTAATTTTTTTTTGTTTTGTTAATTTAAAAAACTCTAATAGCATTTGTACATTTACAACTGTGCATATCTACCATACACTCTAATGACAAATGGGTATCAAAAAACTCGAGCACCATAAATTGCCTTTTGATAAAAAGTTGATATTTACAGCACAGTACTTTCAAGGAGGTATAAAAAAGTAATTGAATTGGCCATTGCCTGAACAGTACAATAACTCTTCCCTTGCAGAGATCTAGTCATTTATAAAAAGAAATTGTATATTTTTTTTTAGCAATCTCTGATGATGATTTCAGAGAAATATTATCATCCATGTCAGGATGGTATGATCGCCATGGATACATAAATATGCTGAAAGTTTTGTACAGAGACCTTGTAACTGAGCCTAATAAGCTATATGCTGCCACCAAGGTGATTGAATTGTTTGAATTGGTATGCAGTTCTGGACATCTGAGTCCTGCAGATCCTGGAGTACTATATGATACTATCAATGTAACTAGGCCATTTGGCATGGAACCAGAACTACGAAAATTGACAGAGAGAACACCTTTTAATATCAGGACAGACGCTGTATCAAAGTTTGCACCTAGCAGGCTAAAGTTGATCAAGTTTTTAGAGAGTCTCACCGACAGTGATGTCAAGAAGACCTCAAAACTTTACAGCTGTGAGCAAAACACTGACAGATGGGAATTATTTGTGGACTTGGAGCATAGAGGCAGGATTTGTGAAGATAACATGGATGACATTATGCGAAACATAACAACACATCTCATTATTGAGTCAAAAAATAACCCTCTTGGGTTGAGGGGGACTGGGAAAGGTAGTAAGGATTTTGCTACACTAGAATCTCCATCTACAGGTAAATTGGTTTATACCTTTAATATCTCTTCAGTATTTAGTGTAACTATCTTAATCGTAATTTTTATTGTTTTATAGTATTTTAATTACAATCTTTTTGATCACCATTCAGGTTTAAATAACCTACATACAACAAGGTACTCTCACACATTCTAGAAACATGCATACTCCAACTGCATATGTATTAAACAAGAAAATCATAAAGAAGAAATGTTTAGATTATACTATGTTTACTTACATGGCAATTAAAATATATTCAAATCAACAAAATTGTCATTATATATATGGAATGACAATTTACCAATTGGTAAACTTTAAATGATAAGAGTAGATTTTATGAATGGGCAAGGTGGTTAATAAAGGTGGGTAGAAGGCTGTGAAATTAGCTTTATGCTGGGTGGCCCTCCTACCACAACTACATCCCTGCTTGGAAACTGAAAGAACATGAATAAAATACTTTTTATATTTATAGCAGATGACCAAATAGAGCTAATGTTGACTGGTGACACAGACACGAAGGTTACATTGCGTGGTGACTCAGAAGCTGGCCCAAGTACATCTACAGGTAAGAATTCCCTTAGAATAGAATGCCAAAATTTCTTTACCTGGTCCTAATATGTATCAAACCTTTGAGATTCATAGGAGAATCACAACTGAATTAGTCGTACTAAACGCTACAACAAATCATTTCATATTCCATATTCTAATGCAATTTACAACAAATATGTTGAAAGATAATTTTTGCTACACATGGAGAGAGCACCTGGATCACATCAATCTTATTATTAATTAAATTTTACAGTAATTTATAAATTTAGCTTTTTATTAGAATTGTATATATTGAATATTATTTTTACCTTTAATAATTTTACCTTTCTATTTGAATTGTAATTTGGATTGTTTCTTAAACTTTAATATTATTGAATTTCTTCCTTTTATATATTGCAGTGTATAAATAAAGATTTTCTGATGCATTTTTTTATATATTGGATCAATAAAGATTGAATTGAATTGAAAATTAATAAATGTATTTGTTAATCTTTACTCATAGATAAACATTATGATTTCTATATCATAAGTGAAGACATTAAATGGGAAGAACAAGTGATACATGGACTTCAAAAGAGGAAATTAGAAGTGAAATGTCTAAGTCGAAAGGACTGGCAACCCGGCAAATATAAATTAGAGAACTTGACAAAACCAATAAGAAGATGCACTAAAGTTATAGTGGGGTTTACATCAGAGCCAGTGTCTGGTAATATGGAGTTTGTTGTTGCAAACGCTGTTCAACAAATGCTGGATAACAACACTCTGAATCATGGAAAACTCATTCCAGTGAAAATAACCCAGGCTGCTGTGATACCAGACTATTTGGGCCCGATAACAGTAGCCAATGGTTGGGAAGAAAATTTCTATGACAAGCTGTTGAATACCTTAAGTGACAAAGGTAACGATAGGCTATATTTAGAATGTGTTTGAATTTCGCTCAATTTTCTTCATGATTGAGGTTATAGTTTGAAGGGACTAAAAAGCTTATCTGAGTTTCATAATTCATAAAATTACATTATCATCATTCCAGTCGTTTTTAGCCCAGTGCAGCATCCCAAAGCTTAAACCATCCCATTTTCTCCACTGCAAATTTTCGACTATAACATGCAAATCCCTTAATTCGGCTCTTCATCTGGTTTTTCTGTCTTCTCTTCAATCTCAGTACCCGGCCTGTTCTTATTCTAGAATCTTGTCGTATGTTTTTGTTTGCTCTCTTTTAATATATTTTTTGTCTTGTACTGTCACAAATGATAATTCAGTTCTTGTATATTTCTTTGTCACTCATATAGCCAGATATGGCTGGCCACAATTGACTGTGACATTAATAAATGATAAAGTAAAGTATAGTGCAATCTGCAGTTAAGTTTGTCCTTTGTTCTGGTGAAGTGCCCTGCATATTGCAGTTTTCCTGTCAATCTTGTTGATTCCTAACATGCACTTCTCTACACTTCTTTGTGATATATTCAGTTTTTGGTCCAGTTTCTAGTCACTGCCCAGATCTTTAATTATAAATGAACTGGTTTTTACTCTCAAAAATTTTACTGTAGTTTAGTTTTTCAATGTTTATCTAAACAAAACTTATATTGCAATCATGCTAGACTTATTTTTGCATCTAAATTACAACATAACTCAGTTTTCATTGTTTGCCGTTTTCTACACTCATTTATTATATTTCTGTACAGATGAAGATGACCAATTGCCATCTATCTCTGATCACCAGCAGCCTTACCCAGGTAATGTAACATCATTATTTCAAATGCTTACAATATTGTTTACGCTGGGGTATATGTATTTCTATTTTTGTATAGGTAACATAAGAATTGTACTTTAAGTGGCCACTGAATCACACTTTAATATTGCTTGATTAACAAAGACCTCTTGTGTACATATAAGTATGGGCCAAAAAGGTTTGTGTCAACTTCATTAATAAAGCCATGCAAATTTATAACTTGTTGCCCAGGTTTATTT